GCCTATTATGATATAAGATCAGTTCTTTGGAAAGAGCATGTATACGGTATCCTTGTAACATGCTCTTATATTTCATTCTATGTGTATTGTATCAGTGGTAAATTCTCTTATATTTCATAAGCATTAATACTTTCTATTAGTAAATTTTCTTTAAAAAAGATTGAGCATTTTTCATATAGATTTGAATATATTTTCTTATTTAAAAAATTTAATAAATAAATTATAAAAATTAATCTTATATTGAACTAATTAAATAATCTTACATTTGATGATGTATTTGTATTTAATATAATTTATATATTTTGGTAAAGTGATTTATTTTACCTAAGTTAGTTTTTATATTCATAAATTTTTAATTTTTTTTATCATATTCATAAAATAATGTCAAATCAATTCATCATTAATGAAGAGAAATAAATCCATCATATATTATCATTACTATCGCTAAATCAATAAAATAATAGTATTATCATCTCTCCCCCTTCAATTTATTTATTTTTGACAAAATATATCTTTAATAATTCATTTCTACACATCCAAAATCATAAACACAAATCACTTTAGTTTCTCTATATACACTCTTAATATTCATTTTAGTTATTTAAATCATTTATAAAAAAATAACATCACCATTTATTAATTTGAAAAATATGAAATATTTTCTATGATTTTATTTTTTTTAAATTGATTTATTAAAAATACTTTATATATCTAAACTGTTAAATAGATCGGATATATTGATTATTTAATAAACTTAAAAAAATTCATAGTAAAGACTAAAGAAAAATAATAAATCAATATATAACATAAAAATACTAAAGCTAATTTTCAATACTTACAAGAAAAACTTTATAATATCAAAATAATAAACTTTCAACTTTACCATCCATGTATTTGAATACTCTATATCTAATACTTGAGCTAGTTATTTGTAGGAATTTTGACAAAGTTTATTTATTGAAGAAATTTTTTATGAATTATTTTTTTATAATAATATGTAATATATAAAGTAAAATAATAATATAAAAAGATTTAAAAAAATAGTTTTTTAATTAAAAATATGTATTTATATTATCTAAATTCAGAGTTTATAAAAATATTCCATTAAATGCCTAAAAATATTCCACCATATTGACATGCCATATTAACTTGTATAAAAATATAGAATACATGGTCAAACATTCTTTAACTTTACTACACATGATATTATTGATCATTTAGATTATGTCTATCCAATTGATATTTAAACGATATCTTCTCGATAAACACTTGTAGTAAATGCACAAGGGATGCAATTCAATACAAAAGGAACGAAACAGATATAAGAAAAAACAAGGCACAAAGATCTATATTCCCCTATCCTTAGCAAGAATAGAAAACCAATCCCAACCAAATAACTTAATAACGATCAAGATAACGGTAGGATTTCAAACGAAAATATTAAAAACCACTTTATTCCTACCCAACCAAACACACGAACAAACAAAAAGTCACGTGAAAGCAAAGAAGAAAGGTATAACTCCACATAATCTTAGCCGAAGATAATCCAACAAACTAAAACATGAGTCATTCCATTTAAGAAAACCGCCACCACCTCTTCCTCTAAAATAATTCCCAACCAATCAAAAACCCCCTTTCAAAAAAGATAGCCGGCCTTCATATCTAGGAAATACTATTTTGCATAACGAAAGGATGCGAAGAAACAAAAAAGATCGCCCGAACAGTACTCGCATTAGGACTGAAATGGACACTATTGAGAAAATAAAAATACGATGCGGGATCTGTCAACAACCCCATATGCACAAAAAATGTATGCATCGCCTCAACGATGCAGGCCCTTCTAACTAGTTATACCGATGTATTTGGTTGTACTGATGTATTGTTATTTTTAATTATCCTTAATCGTATTTTTTAATTAGTAATTTGATGTTTCAAGTTTATTATTATTAAAAATTATTTTTTATTAAAATTTTAATTGTTTATTTATAATTATTTAAATTTTTTAATTAGTATTTTATTATTTAATTATGTATTTAAATTATTTTTTAACTATTTTTAATTATTAATAAAATTAAATAGATAACTTTATATTAAATCAATATTAGAAAATAAAATACGAAAAAGAAAAATATACACTCATGCTATTTTTAAATGGCACAAATCTTCTGGTTGTGTAATGGGTGGAACCCTCGCACCATTTCAAATGGCGCAAGCCTTCTGAACGTGACATTCTGAGAATTTTTTTCAAACTGTGGCATTATGATAATTATGTTTTAGGGGTGTGGCAACTTGGAAAAAAATTCCACAAAAACATTTGAATTGTGAAACAAACACACGTTAGATACCTCCTTGGACACAATAATATCCATAAAAGTAGAAATGATTCTTTGAATATCCTGTTTTTGTTAACTATGGCATGGCATAGGTACTTTTGAGCTGAAGCGGAGCAAAAAGATCCATTTGATTAGAAATGGAATTTTAACTTTTGAGCTGAAGTAGAGCATTATCCTAATAATGTAGTATTAGGTGAAAAGTAAATTTAATGGTGTCCTTTAAAACATGATACAACTTTTCCAAAATCTATATGATATAGGATAGTCATGTTGCATTAATAATGTAACATAATGTGAATAAGTAAGTAGCTTAGGATTGGAAATGTAACAAAATTGTAGAACAGAACAAATTTAAAACATGATAATAGGAATAACATTACAAAATAAGGTTCTTCTTTGTAGATAAGCATTGTAAGCATCTACAAAGTAATTTTTATTGTTCAATAGAAATGTAGATAATAATATGTCCTTACACAAAATAAGTCAATTTTCCAAACTAACACAAATGCATTACTTAATCGTAGTAGTTAACAGCTGAAACTAATGCCCATCATTTGCCTTTGGAATGTCTTGCACTCTTGAGCCTTGGATTCTTAGAGCCGATTTCTTCGTAGTTAAGAAATCAACCGATGGTCCAAAATCATCATTAGAATCATCTCCCGACATTATTTTAGAAAAAGTGTTGTTAAATCTCAGATCGGGACTCCAATTCTGGGGAGCAGAAGCAAATGTCGTATTCTGTAAAAAAATAGTATTGTAAAGAAGCATGTTTTGAAAAAAGAGAGTTTGATAATGGTAGGTCACATTAATTGAAATGCGTACTGTTTAAGTAGATGACGTAATTGGGTTCTTTGGGACAATGAGGTCTTATGAGGTAATAATTTCTTTCCCCTCACTACAACATTTAGGCTCTCCAGCAACTATTGAAAAACGTTTCCAGAACTCTGAAAATCGTTGCCTAAAACAATAGGGGACGTTTTCTAGGCGTCTCCTGTGCGAGCGTTGCCTATTGTTTGAGGCGACATTTTTTTATGTTTTTTGGGAACGCTTTTGAAAAACGTCGCCTATAGTAAAGGAATAGGGGACGATTATTTACAGCCTCTGAGACAACGTTTTTTAAGCGTTGCGTTGCCAAATTCGGCTACAATTAACAATCGTTGCCTCAAACCTGAATCAGGAAGATCGTTTTTGAAGTGTAGCCATAGCTTATAGGTTGTTGTTTTATAGTGTCCACATAAAATATACAATTTTGCAATTATTATCAAAATAATATAGTCAATAATAATTGGCTTAAAAAATAATATTGATTATATAACTTAAACCATACATCCATAAAAGTTATAATATAATAAAATCGAGTTCAAACTTTAATTCAAGATATAGTATATAGAGTACACAAAATTCCTAACGTAACAATATTACTTTTAATACTTTGAAGTATGACCCTAGTAAAATAACTAAAAACATAGTTCAACAAAAGAACAAAAATCATATTTTAAGTTTGATGCTTTCAACTACAAGCCAAAAAAAAGACATCATCCAACTCATTCAAGTTTGTCTTCTAGGAGTAAAGCATCCAGATCGTCCTCTTGAAATTCGTTAGATATGTCATCCTCCATAAATTCTTCATCTACGTCGTCCTCTTGAAATTCACCATCTATATCCTCCTTTTGGTCCAAAGGACAATTAAGACATCAACAAGAATTAAACCTCGCACAAATAAAAACTAAACCAATGAGCAAAACACATTGTTTATATTCTTCACATCTCATGGATGTGAATTAATTATGAAGGTTTTTAATGGATGTGAATTTTCATTCTAAACTGTAGATTCTCATGAATTCTTTTTTTCAGCATTCCTGGTTTCAATATAATTTTATCTTCATAATAATGTCATGAAAAGAAATATATAAATTTAAAGTATATGCAGGGAAGATGTAACTTTCGTGCATGTTAATTCTTAACCGCTTCCACCCTTGCCTCACCTTGCAACCATTGAATGATGACTGGTGACTTCGTCTGGTAAATAACTTTGAATGGAGTTTGTCCAGTAGCAGCGTCACATATAGTATCAAACCAATATTCTGTCTAAGAAGATTGCTTCTTAAGCAAGTTCTTATGAGGTATAAACACTTTTTTTATTATCAAGAAACGAAAAGTAATGTTGTGATGAAATAGTTGCAACTTAAGTATAGAAAAATGTGTATCTGGCGCTATCAAATTAGTTAAGAAAGCAATGCCTCAAGAAATGGCAAGTAATATTGTGATAAATAGAGGAAGCAATGCCTCCATTGTTATTTGATAACAATAAAGCATGTTAGCCTGTTGGAGATGTTTGCAGTTAGTAAACAAATCTTTATTGTAAATCTCATTCAAATGGAGGGCTAGAAACTGTAACATAATCAGACATAAAATTCTAAAAGGTCAACCAAAAAAACATATGCCTAGAGGTTCCTAATTCTGGTTTGATAATGATTTCCAAATTTACAGATTGATAACTTTCAAGAATGATAGCAAAATTTGAAAAAGAATTCATTATCAAATTTATTTGAATTAGAATGATAGGAGCCTAAAATCTGAGAATAGAGGAATCACATTCAATCAAACTCACAAGTTAGCACTTTATAGCTTCATCCTAATACTGTATCCGATAATAGCTTCATATAGATGTCGCCTTTTCATAGCCTGCTCGAGACTGGAAGGTGCATCGGTGATCTTCCTATAGTGTTTTTGTGTAGAACTTCGAGCGACAAGATGTTGCTGAAAATGCCAGTAACGCAGAACTTTCAAACATTAAGACCAAGAAGTAAGTGCTAATTTTGAATAACAATACCAGAGTTCAAATTGCATCCGATATGCGATGTGCTTCAAACACTCCATCAGCAGCCGTAAGCGACAATTGAGAAGTAGTGCCATCATCAACGAGAAAGTACATCCAATGGCAGAACATCAAGTCGTTTCATCAAATAACATCACCTATATCAAAATAAAACAAAAACAACTCTCATTATTAGTTGAATTTCAGCTTTTATTTCATCATTTAGCTAATAAATCTAGAATACACAATTTGTTATTACGCATTTTCAAGCTCTCAAGTCATGAATAGCACAATTCATATTGAATCTTGGTTTGGCCCTTCAGACAATTTTCATTAAAACCAATATATGAGACAAATGACAATGTGCATCAACAGAGTACTAAAATCAATTAAGTGAGAATGAATTTGAAATGTACAAAAGTAAATACTACCTTCCCACAAACAGGAAAGTTGTCACTTCTTTCCATCAACTGATATATGTCTTCTGAATCTTCATACAACCAGAACAAGTAGGGATCATATTCTAGAGCCCACATCATCTGTTAAATATTTAAAGAAGTTAGTTATTATTACAATCACTATAGATTGTTCCTATTGCAGTATGCAATTCAAAAACTTGATTTCAACAAACAATTTCTAACAGAAATTGATGCAAACTGTTATTAAGGCACCGAGTATGTTAAGAGGTGACTAAGATCAAAGAAAAATGATAGAATAAAACTGGAGGAAAGAACCTAAACAGAATGCAAGTAAATTGTGTGAAAAGCCACATGTGAAATGTACACAATTATGAGTTACAAAGATCAAGATCAAAATAAGAAACCTACTTGCACATCAGAAAAAAAACATTAACATGGGAGTACTGTAATATTTATATTGATTGAAATTGTGAAAGTGTTTATGTAATCTTTTCCATCATTTTCCATCAATCTTGTGAAAGAAATTGAATAGAATTTCGTCTGGTACTAATCTGCTACTACAATTGACAGAATATCTACCCAATATCCGTCATGTCCCTTTTACTAATCTGCTACTACAATTGCCATATACATATTCAAATAACAAAATAAATTTACTACTCCTGAAAAACAATTTCATGTAATTAATTTCAATTCAAGAAAAGGTAGTACTACTAATTAATTTCCTCTCTGATCTTATCTTCCCTTGCCTTGGCTTCCCTTTCTACCAAAATAATATGAGCATGAATACAAGATTCTCAGGCCTGGGAATCAACTAGAATCTTGCTAAACTATTCATCAAAGTAGGATTTAATTAACACTAGCAAACAATAAACCATCAAGCAATGAAGACAAATCAAATGATGTACCAACATGATCAGAAATACACATTGACTTCTTCCTTTTTGACAAAACTTATTTCGGCTCTACAATTCTATCCTCATACACATACCTTCCATTATTGTCAAGAAACTAATAGAAACCATTCTCATCAGGAAAATACCTCATTAACTTGATAGTAGATTTTCAACAACTTTTAGAGCTTCAACCAAGTCAGCATCATCAGAAAGAATACCATTCAGTTCCAGAAAGAAGTGAATAAAGATGAAAAGAATACCATTCAATACTTCTGCTAAACACCTTAAGATTTTAGTAAAAAAGCTTTAACATGCTTGAGGTTAAAGTTTTTATTCAATCCAATAAATTTCAATTTCAATTCAGACTCGGTAGATCTATCAACGTAGTACTTAATTTCTATAGGTTTATTAAAAAATCTTTGACTTACCTTTGAAGTTGTATTTTCGGTATCAAATGGATAATCTTTTGACATAGAGCAGACAATTCTTTGCTCTGAGCAATTAATGCAATTGCTCTGAGCAATTCTTTGGACGACTTGGACGACGTGGACGGCGGACGACGTGGACGGCGGACGACGTGGACGAAAGCAGTTGGACAGCGAACGACGAACGGACGACGACGTGGACGACGAGCACGGCGTGGCAGTTGGACGGAGTGACGAAGAACACAGCGGAGGGTGTGAACAAAAGAGGTTTGACTCGAAGAGGATGAAGGACGGAGCGTCTGAAAGCGCGGCTAGGTTCGGCGAAATGTGTGAACGAAAAAGAAGGAGAATCGAAAGCTGCTTGTTTTCCTTATCTGTTTTTTTTTATTTTTTTATTTTCTATTCTTTTTAATAACACGTGGCAATAATTGAGAGGACTAGTAATGAAAAATATTTTAAATTCCTGTGTTAGAAAATTTTTTATTTTCTGTTTAATGAAATTTTTTTTAATATATATATATATATATATATATATATATATATATATATATATATATATATATATATATATATATATATATATATATATATATATATATATATATATATATAATTTTTTATTTTCTGTTTAATTGAAATTTTTTATTCTTAAATTCCTGTGTTAGAAAAATATTTTTTTTATATATATTAAGAATGTTTACAGAAAAATATTTGTTTTTTAGTGTATAAGTTTTGGAGGGAAGATTGCCACCAAAAATTTGATAATTCTAAAAAAATTTATACAACATTTCAGAAATGTAGCCTTTTATTAGAACTAATGTAACAATCTAAAAATATCCCCAAAAATATTTTAGGGGACAATTGTCAAACATTGCTAAAGAAATAATATTTTAACGCTCTAAAATCGTCCCCAAAAGCAGTTAAGGGCGCAATTAACAACCGTTGGCAAAAAAATAAAAGAGTATCGCTCCATAAACGTCCCCAAAAGTATTTTAGGCGACGATTATCAAGGGTTGCAAACATATTTTTGACAACAATCGTAAATCGTTGCCTATATGAATTTAAGGCAACAATTTCTACATGTTACCTAAAAAAGTGTTGCCAGAGACAACAAATGTTGTAGTGCCTTAGTAGTAGTTTCCTTGATGATGTTCTTGTTTGAAGCATACAAAAGGGATATAGATGTTTTGTAAGTGATGTTGTATATTATGTAGTTATGTAATAGAAAAAATTAAGTTGTCGATAAGTATAAATGTAATAAAAACCTACATTACTTGGAGCAATGAAGTCCTTAATTTGTTTCCTGACATCGGGATCTTTAGTAAGTTTAACGATAGATGCCTGCTTGTAGTATGGTTGCCATTTGGCCCGTAATGAAAAATGCTTCTCAAGAAGGTTGTAAAGGTGTGCCCAGTACATTAGAGGATGATCCTCATTGGTCTAAAGGCAACATATCAGATTTGATGTAAATCAGTCAAGTGAAACATATATATGTGCCACAGGTTGATGTTATGTCAAAATGGGGAATAAGTAATGATTACTAGTTTTTGCAGTTGATAATTGATGAATACATAATATAGTATATAATTTGATATAAATAAGAGGGGGAACCAATTATTATGTAAATAATGTTTTGTTAGGCTACACTGATGTAATTATGGAGCAATTACCTTGATGTCACAACAACACAACAAGAGTCATTCTAGTTATAAAAGATTGTAAAAATGACATGGTTGAGGGCAGCTATAACCATCAATTGTAGAAATAAAAGTGCAACAGATTTATCAATGTTTAGAAAATTACCAAAAGATCCATGACCTTGCAATGATCAGAACATATGAGTTAAGAATTGAAACATGTTTCATTATTTGTCACAAAGCATGAGTGGACATACCAACAACAGGTATACACTCCTTGTCCCAGAAAAGGAAATTACCAATGAAGCCTTGATGCATTAACTCTATTTCTATCTTGTACCTAATAAAGAATGAATGAATAGTTCAAATCTAAATTTCAATTATTTTAACAAAATAACAGAAAATAATATAACTATGTTAACTTGGTGATGGGTGGAGAGATTGGTTCGGAGCAAGCGCATTGAAAGGGTTCACCAAGTGACTTGTTTGTAACCTTTATGTAGGGCAAAACTCATAATACTGTAGTGGTAGAAATGTTTAAGATTGAGCCATTGGGTTGACTAGACTTGTACAGATCAAAAATAAAAAATCGTCACTATGCTTTATTGTTTCCAAAGGAATGAGAAAAGAGCGAATAACCCAAAAGAGGTGTTTCAAAGTTAAGAACGATAAAATGGTCTTCATAAAAAGCAAGAATGCATTGAAGAAAGAAGCACATGAAGGAAGAAGCATAAGGTTAGATGAACATGGTTTCCATAAAAATCAAAACTTTTTCTCATATAAACGTAACCATATTAATGGAAGGACATAGGAAAACAAACAAAATAATGCAAACTTAAACGTATTGAAAAAAAACAGAAAAATCCACTGGAACGAACATAAACACCATAACTGACACACATTCATGCTAAACAGTAAAACTGAAAATGAGGCGAAAGATATGGTGTTAACCTTGATGCAGCGGAGGAAGACAATTTAGACTAGAGGGGGAATTTATAGGAGATGGAAAATGGTCTGGTTTGCACAAACAAAAATGAGAAAGATGAGTTTGAAGGTAAACTTTTGAAATGATAGAAAGAATGTTTACGCAGGTAAAAGGATTGACCAATAGATTTTCTTTTCTTGTGTTTTGAAAAAATATAAGAAAGCAAAGCCACTTGTAAGTTTAATTAGTTTTCATTGGAAATTATCTTCTATTTAATCAATTACAAAAAGGGTATGATTTAGTACAATTTAATTTTGCATATAGTTGATTTTTTCGTTAAAGTTAAAATTGTTGTTTGGAGTGGTTACAAGCAACAAATTTTTTTTTAGCTTTGATATGAATTCATAAGGGTTTAATTCAGTTACATTGTTGAATTTTGATAATTTTTTATGTAATTTATTATTTTCTTTGGTTCAATATTTTTCTGTCTTGTATATTAATTTCGAAGTTCATTTTGACATTTTAACTTAAAAGAACTCCATATTTCATATTTAAAATATTTAAAATGTGTCATATTAATACTTTTTGTCTAATTAGTAATAAACAAATTCAAAAATTTAGCAAAATAAATTATGATCTTAACATATATGACCAAAAAAATATTAAACATTTTTTTTATAAATTTTTTAGAACTATTATTTCCCTTCTTGATTAAACATTTTTTATTTAATTTTCCATTGTTGTCAAATGCCTAAACTAAAGAGAATACTTTTAACTCAAGTATGACAATAATTAGTTAATTTGTTTAAAGTAAAAAATTTGTAATTTTTATTATTATCATTATCAATAACATGAATTTGATTAATTAAGTTTTCTCAATGACCTAAAAATTTTGTGGCCTATTATGATATAACATCAGTTCTTTGGAAAGAGCATGTATACGGTATCCTTGTAACATGCTCTTATATTTCATTCTATGTGTATTGTATTAGTGGTAAATTCTCTTATATTTCATAAGCATTAATACTTTCTACTAGTAAATTATCTTTAAAAAAGATTGAGCATTTTTCATATAGATTTGAATGTATTTTTTTATTTAAAAAATTTAATAAATAAATTATAAAAAATAATCTTTTATCGAACTAATTAAATAATCTTACATTTGTTTATGTATTTGTATTTAATATAATTTATATATTTTGGTAAAGTGATTTATTTTACCTAAGTTAGTTTTTATATTAATAAATTTTTAAATTTTTTTTATCATATTCATAAAATAATGTCAAATCAATTCATCATTAATGAAGAGAAATAAATCCATCATATATTATCATTTCTATCCCTAAATCAATAAAATAATAGTATTATCATCTCTCCCCCTTCAATTTAATTTTTTTGACAAAATATATCTTTAATAATTCATTTGTACACATCCAAAATCATAAACACAAATCACTTCAGTTTCTCAATATACTCTCTTAATATTCATTTTAGTTATTTAAATCATTTATAAAAAAATAACATCCCCGTTTATTAATTTGAAAAATATGGAATATTTTCTCTGATTTTGTTTTTTTTAAAATTGATTTATTAAAAATACTTTATATATCTAAACTATTAAATAGATCAAATTTATTGATTATTTAATAAACTTAAAAAAATTCATAATAAAGACTAAAGAAAAATAATAAATCAATATATAACAGAAAAATACTATAGCTAATTTGCAATACTTACAAGAAAAACTTTATAATGACAAAATAATATACTTTCTACTTTACCATCCATGAATTTGAATACTCTATATCTAATACTCGAGTTAGTTATTTGTAGGAATTTTGACAAAGTTTATTTATTGAAGAAGTTTTTTATGAATATTTTTTTATAATAATATGAAATATATAAATTAAAGTAATAATATAAAAAGATTAAAAAATGGTGTTTTAATTAAAAATATGTATTTATATTATCTAAATTCAGAGCTTATAAAAATATTCCATTAAATGCCAAAAAATATTCCACCATATTGACATGTCATATTAACTTGTATAAAACTATAGAATACATGGTCAAACGTTCTTTAACTTTACTACACATGATATTATTGATCATTTAGATTATGTCTATCCAATTGATATTTAAATGATATCTTCTCGATAAACACTTGTAGTAAATGCACAAGGGATTCAATTCAATACAAAAGGAACGAAACAGAAATAAGAAAAAACAAGGCACAAAGATCTATATTCCCCTATCCTTAGCAAGAATAGAAAACCAATCCCAATCAAATAACTTAATAACGATCAAGATATCGGTAGGATTCCAAACGAAAATATTAAAAACCATTTTATTCCTACCCAACCAAACACACGTACAAACCAAAAGTCACGTGAAAGCAAAGAAGAAAGGTTTAACTCCACACAATCTTAGCCGAAGATAATCCAACAAACTAAAACCTGAGTCATTCTTTTTAAGACAAACCGCCACCACCTCTTCCTCTAAAATCATTCCCAACCAATCAAAAACCTCCTTCCAAAAAAGATAGTTGGCCTTCATATCTAGGCAATACTATTTTGCATAACGAAAGGATGCGAAGAAACAAAAAAGATCGCCCGAACAGTACTCGCATTAGGACTAAAATGGACACTGTTGAAAAAATAAAAATACGATGCGAGATCTATCAACAACCCCATATGCACAAAAAATGTATGCACCGCCTCAACGATGCAGGCCCTTCTAACTAGTTATATCGATGTATTTGGTTGTACTGATGTATTTGTTATTTATAA